CATCAAGGCTACCGGCCTCCATAGTCATCAACTCTACCGGCCTCCATAGTCATCAACTCTACCGGCCTCCATAGTCATCAAGGCTACCGGCCTCCATAGTCATCAACTCTACCGGCCCTCCATAGTCATCAAGGCTACCGGCCTCCATAGTCATCAACTCTACCGGCCTCCATAGTCATCAACTCTACCGGCCTGCATAGTCATCAACTCTACCGGCCTGCATAGTCATCAGCTCTACCGGCCTCCATAGTCATCAACTCTACCGGCCTCCATAGTCATCAAAGCTACCGGCCTCCATAGTCATCAACTCTACCGGCCTCCATAGTCATCAAGGCTACCGGCCTCTATAGTCATCAAGGCTACCGGCCTCTATAGTCATCCAGGCTACCGGCCTCCATAGTCATCAACTCTACCGGCCTCCATAGTCATCAAAGCTACCGGCCTCCATAGTCATCAAGGCTACCGGCTCCCATAGTCATCAAACTCTACCGGCCTCCATAGTCATCAACTCTACCGGCCTCCATAGTCATCAACTCTACCGGCCTCCATTGTCATCAACTCTACCGGCCTCCATAGTCATCAAGGCTACCGGCCTCCATAGTCATCAACTCTACCGGCCTCCATAGTCATCAAGGCTACCGGCCTCCATAGTCATCAAGGCTACCGGCCTCCATAGTCATTAAGGCTACCGGCCTCTATAGTCATCAACTCTACCGGCCTCCATAGTCATCATCTCTACCGGCCTCCATATTCATCAAGGCTACCGGCCTCCATAGTCATCAACTCTACCGGCCTCCATAGTCATCAACTCTACCGGCCTCCATAGTCATCAAGGCTACCGGCCTCCATAGTCATCAACTCTACCGGCCTCCATAGTCATCAAGGCTACCGGCCTCCATAGTCATCAACTCTACCGGCCTCCATAGTCATCAACTCTACCGGCCTGCATAGTCATCAACTCTACCGGCCTGCATAGTCATCAGCTCTACCGGCCTCCATAGTCATCAACTCTACCGGCCTCCATAGTCATCAAAGCTACCGGCCTCCATAGTCATCAACTCTACCGGCCTCCATAGTCATCAACTCTACCGGCCTCCATAGTCATCAACTCTACCGGCCTCCATAGTCATCAACTCTACCGGCCTCCATAGTCATCAAAGCTACCGGCCTCTATAGTCATCAACTCTACCGGCCTCCATAGTCATCAAAGCTACCGGCCTCCATAGTCATCAACTCTACCGGCCTCCATAGTCATCAAGGCTACCGGCCTCCCTAGTCATCAAGGCTACCGGCCTCCCTAGTCATCAAGGCTACCGGCCTCTATAGTCATCAAGGCTACCGGCCTCTATAGTCATCAACTCTACCGGCCTCCATAGTCATCAAGGCTACCGGCCTCCCTAGTCATCAAGGCTACCGGCCTCTATAGTCATCAAGGCTACCTGCCTCCCTAGTCATCAAGGCTACCGGCCTCCTAGTCATCAAGGCTACCGGCCTCTATAGTCATCAAGGCTACCGGCCTCCATAGTCATCAACTCTACCGGCCTCCATAGTCATCAAGGCTACCGGCCTCCCTAGTCATCAAGGCTACCGGCCTCCCTAGTCATCAAGGCTACCGGCCTCTATAGTCATCAAGGCTACCGGCCTCCATAGTCATCAACTCTACCGGCCTCTATAGTCATCAAGGCTACTGGCATCCATAGTCATCAACTCTACCGGCCTCCATAGTCATCAACTCTACCGGCCTCCATAGTCATCAAGGCTACCGGCCTCTATAGTCATCAACTCTACCGGCCTCCATAGTCATCAAGGCTACCGGCCTCTATAGTCATCAAGGCTACCGGCCTCTATAGTCATCCAGGCTACCGGCCTCCATAGTCATCAACTCTACCGGCCTCCATAGTCATCAAAGCTACCGGCCTCCATAGTCATCAAGGCTACCGGCCTCCATAGTCATCAACTCTACCGGCCTCCATAGTCATCAACTCTACCGGCCTCCATAGTCATCAACTCTACCGGCCTCCATTGTCATCAACTCTACCGGCCTCTATAGTCATTAAGGCTACCGGCCTCCATAGTCATCAACTCTACCGGCCTCCATAGTCATCAAGGCTACCGGCCTCCATAGTCATCAAGGCTACCGGCCTCCATAGTCATCAAGGCTACCGGCCTCTATAGTCATCAACTCTACCGGCCTCCATAGTCATCATCTCTACCGGCCTCCATAGTCATCAAGGCTACCGGCCTCCATAGTCATCAACTCTACCGGCCTCCATAGTCATCAACTCTACCGGCCTCCATAGTCATCAAGGCTACCGGCCTCCATAGTCATCAACTCTACCGGCCTCCATAGTCATCAAGGCTACCGGCCTCCATAGTCATCAACTCTACCGGCCTCCATAGTCATCAACTCTACCGGCCTCCATAGTCATCAACTCTACCGGCCTCCATAGTCATCAAAGCTACCGGCCTCCATAGTCATCAACTCTACCGGCCTCCATAGTCATCAAGGCTACTGACCTCCCAAGTCATCAAAGCTACCGGCCTTGAAGAAGAAGACGTAGTTTCTCATTAAAAGTTTCAAAGGATATTATGTAACATGGAAAGATATTTTACGAACGATAAAAAAAAAAAATTCTTAACAGGGTTACTAATTAAAGTTTGATGACAGTGTACAAGCAATGTAAGCAATTTTACCAGTGAGTAAGGCAGAAAAAGAGACAAGAAATTCTGCTCGGGAGAAGATACATTGAGAACGAGAGAAAGGGAATCCAATATTATGCTAGATGCTTGATAACCACAGCTAAAAACTGTTCAATCTGAAGATGTAGGATTAAACAATGTTTGAACGAGGGTTGTGCAGTGTGAGCGTTGTTTCTGTGTCCGCATCACTTGTCCCGAAGTGTTCATTTGTTGAACTACTGTTCTGTCTGTCTTTGATTGATCATTTCCTTGTCCATGTTTGTCTTTGCAACCGATTTGTATTTTTAAATGTCAGTTGGAAACTGGAAGACATCGATTGTTAAGGTCTTATGGTGGGTGGCAGTGTTCCGTGGTGTGTGTGTGTGTTTGTGTGTGTGTGTGAGTGCGTGTGTGTGCGTGAGTGCGTGAGTGTTTGTTTGTAAGCGTGCGCTCTGATAGACGTAAGGTGTTCCGTGGAGTGCGGGTGTGTGTGTGTGTGAGTGGTGTGTGTGTTTATGTGTGTGCGTGCTTTTGTTTGAGCTAAGTGTTCATGTGTACCTGTGCTCGCCCTAGTGTCTGGGACGCTGCTTAAACAACAAAGTCTAGTCGGTAGAAAAGGGGTAAGGGTAAAGTGGTGGTTCAGCTAATTATATTTAGAAATATTACGAAAGTAGACATATTTGATAAGACGATGTTTTTGTTTTAATAGGTTGGGAAACTCTTTTCCCTTACTAAACAATCATGCACCCACTCAGAACCACTGTGACAGGTGTGTGTGTGTATGTGTGTGTGTGTGTTAATTAGTGTGTGTGTGTGTCGAGCCGCAACAATGAGGAAGCATGATTTGACAGTTGGAAATGCATTCAATAGATCCGACACATCATCATCATCAGTTCTCGTTATGCCTAGTGGCACATGAGGCTTCAGAGAGGACTTTCCATGGCTTCCTGTCCTGTGCAATCTTCAGTGTAGTTTTCCATGTCAAAGATGCCGCACTCAGGTCACTTTCCATCGTTCGTCTCCATGTTGTTTTTGGGCGCCCCTGTTGTTTCTTTTCCTCTGGTGTCCACGTGAGAGCTGTTTTGGCAAATATATCAGAAGTCATTCTCATAACGTGGCCAAGCCATTTAAATCTTCTCTTGGTAATCATACTGTCTAAAGTTTCTTGGTTTGTGGCTTGAAGTGGTTTAATGTTGGAGATTGTATCTGGCCAGAAAAGTTTGATAATTCTACGTAGACATGTGTGGTAAAAGATGGACAGCTTGTGTGCATCCTTTTTGGTCATTCTCTAGCATTCCTCTCCATATAGAAGAACTGGCAAAATGATGCTTTTGTAGAGTCGGAGTTTTGTTCCTCTGCAGTAATTGTTAAATTTCCAGATTTGCCTCATCCTTCCAAAAGCAGCTCTAGCTTTGTTCAGGCGTGACTGTATGTATTCCTCTGTCCCTCCCGGTAGGGACACCACACTACCAAGATAGGTCCGACACATGTGACATCGTGAACACGACTATTATTAGCATAAGAATTCCTATTAGAGATTAGAAATCAACAAGGTCCTCATGTAAAACTGCAACCATGTTTGAACAAACCCACAAAGACAAGGAGAATTAATGAATGAAATTAGGAGAGAGGAAGCTCGTCTCGAAGACAAGAGTTGCAGAGTTGCAGAGACATTCACAAGGCCTTGAGTATACCAGACATTAATAAGAACTTGAGTGTACCAGACATTAATAAGGACTTGAGTGTACCAGACATTAATAAGGACTTGAGTGTACCAGACATTAATAAGGACTTGAGTGTACCAGACATTAATAAGGCCTTGAGTGTACCAGACATTAATAAGGCCTTGAGTGTACCAGACATTAATAAGAACTTGAGTGTACCAGACATTAATAAGAACTTGAGTGTACCAGACATTAATAAGAACTTGAGTGTACCAGACATTAATAAGGACTTGAGTGTACCAGACATTAATAAGGACTTGAGTGTACCAGACATTAATAAGAACTTGAGTGTACCAGACATTAATAAGGACTTGAGTGTACCAGACATTAATAAGGACTTGAGTGTACCAGACATTAATAAGGACTTGAGTGTACCAGACATTAATAAGGCCTTGAGTGTACCAGACATTAATAAGGTCTTGAGTGTACCAGACATTAATAAGGTCTTGAGTGTACCAGACATTAATAAGGACTTGAGTGTACCAGACATTAATAAGGACTTGAGTGTACCAGACATTAATAAGGCCTTGAGTGTACCAGACATTAATAAGGCCTTGAGTGTACCAGACATTAATAAGGCCTTGAGTGTACCAGACATTAATAAGGACTTGAGTGTACCAGACATAATAAGAACTTGAGTGTACCAGACATTAATAAGGACTTGAGTGTACCAGACATTAATAAGAACTTGAGTGTACCAGACATTAATAAGAACTTGAGTGTACCAGACATTAATAAGAACTTGAGTGTACCAGACATTAATAAGGACTTGAGTGTACCAGACATTAATAAGGACTTGAGTGTACCAGACATTAATAAGGCCTTGAGTGTACCAGACATTAATAAGGCCTTGAGTGTACCAGACATTAATAAGGACTTGAGTGTACCAGACATTAATAAGAACTTGAGTGTACCAGACATTAATAAGGACTTGAGTGTACCAGACATTAATAAGGCCTTGAGTGTGCCAGACATTAATGAGGACTTGAGTGTACCAGACATTAATAAGAACTTGAGTGTAACAGACATTAATAAGGACTTGAGTGTACCAGACATTAATAAGGCCTTGAGTGTACCAGACATTAATAAGGACTTGAGTGTACCAGACATTAATAAGGACTTGAGTGTTCCAGACATTAATAAGGCCTTGAGTGTACCAGACATTAATAAGGACTTGAGTGTACCAGACATTAATAAGGACTTGAGTGTACCAGACATTATTAAGGCCTTGAGTGTACCAGACATTTACCAGACCTTGAGTGTACCAGACATTCACAAGGCCTTGAGTGTACCAGACATTTACCAGACCTTGAGTGTACCAGACATTCACAAGGCCTTGAGTGTACCAGACATTAATAAGGACTTGAGTGTACCAGACAATAATAAGGACTTGAGTGTACCAGACATTAATAAGGACTTGAGTGTACCAGACATTAATAAGGCCTTGAGGGTACCAGACATTAATAAGGCCTTGAGTGTACCAGACATTATTAAGGCCTTAAGTGTACCAGACATTAATAAGGCCTTGAGTGTACCAGACATTATTAAGGCCTTGAGTGTACCAGACATTTACCAGACCTTGAGTGTACCAGACATTTACCAGGCCTTGAGTGTACCAGACATTTACCAGGCCTTGAGTGTACCAGACATTCACAAGGCCTTGAGTGTACCAGACATTTACCAGGCCTTGAGTGTACGAAACATTAATAAGGTCTTGAGTGTACCAGACATTCACAAGGCCTTGAGTGTACCAGACATTAATAAGGCCTTGAGTGTACCAGACATTAATAAGGCCTTGAGTGTACCAGACATTAATAAGGCCTTGAGTGTACCAGACATTAATAAGGCCTTGAGTGTACCAGACATTAATAAGGACTTGAGTGTACCAGACATTAATAAGGCCTTGAGTGTACCAGACATTATTAAGGCCTTAAGTGTACCAGACATTAATAAGGCCTTGAGTGTACCAGACATTAATAAGGCCTTGAGTGTACCAGACATTTACCAGACCTTGAGTGTATTAGACATTTACCAGGCCTTGAGTGTACGAAACATTAACAGGGCATTGAGTGTACCAGACACATATATGACCTCCTATATGTCTTCCTATATGTTGTTGCTGTCCCTGTTATATCAGGACTATGGAAAGTAGTCTAACACTGCCGATAGGACAAAATAATTTTCTACTGTAAATAGTGTTTAAAGATTGGCATTCTTCTTCAGTATCATACAAGCTTTGTTTATGTTATCTCTGGTCTGTCTGCTTCACTTCTCGATTCCTGCGATAACATCAGGTATAGAGATAGCTCACGTTCTATTCACCTCTGGTGAATGAAGTCCACATTTCCGTCATGCAGGGATCTATGGGCCAGATTCGTGAAATGATAATTCCGTGTGTCCGCAGTTCAACACTGGTGTTATATGTTGTCAATATTGTGTCTGTGGATAAATCCACACGTTCATAAACTTGTAAAAGCTCTGATATTGTGTAGAGAGTGTCACTAACGATTGCGCTCTGTTCCGGGTGAATGGTTCACTCTAACCGAGATAGGGTTAGTTGCGTACCTTATACAGGACGTTGCAGAACCAACTCCAATAGACCCTGGCTGCTGTGTGGTTTTTCTAGGCACATTTACGTCCAGTAGTTTGCCATTGCTTACTGGACGGTCGGATTTCTTGATACCACGATCGAAACCAACGTAAAGCCTAACAGAGATAACAAAAACAAATTATCATGAATTCGTTATTTCACCCTCACAGTGTTGGTTTCTAGTCTGGAGTCCACGGTCAGTCCACCTCCATGTTGTTATACTTGTTGGACAGCGGCTGCATTAGATAGTTGTGTATGCCATGTGGGTCGCATTAACCGTTAAGCACATAAAGCACGCGCTTAGAGCAGCACCTAGAAAGAAGAACACATACATTTTCAGTAGCATTGGAACTTAGCTTTTATTTTGTTGTCAGGTGAAGTATATTATACAATCCTACCAGAACAAAAATGCAACAAGACAGGGTGCAGATGTGTTACGTAAGATTTGTTTTCAGGCTCTGATCAAAGTCTTTGCAATATTATATATATATATATAATGAGAGAAAACTTTTCTTATATAAATACAGTGGAAATATACACAAGTAAACATTATTTTCCACCCTAACATTAGGTTGTCTTATTTCCTTAAATAAAATGTTATTGTACGGTTTATTGTTGCTTATTTTTTCCACGACATAAATATATGTTGTGTGTGCGTGTGTGTGCGTGTGTGTGCGTGTGTGTGCGTGTGTGTGCGTGTGTGTGCGTGTGTGTGCGTGTGTGTGCGTCAATTGACCAGTTGCATATAATTCCAGGGGCCCATAATGTTGTTAACACGGTGGAGGGAGGGGAGGGCGACATCTTTTGAGTGCTTAGGGCATCAACGAGTCCCAATCCGGCCCTGATGTCAGATATACAAGTACACATGTGACATATACACTTTATGTCTGTCTCACTGCCAGTCATGTTGTGTACTGTCAGTCATGTTTGATACTGTCAGTCATAATTGATACTGTCAGTCATGTTTGATACTTTCAGTCATGTTTTATAATGTCAGTCATGTTGGATGCTGTCAGTCATGTTGGATACTGTCAGTCATGTTGTGTACTGTCAGTCATGTTTGGTACTTTCAGTCATGTTTTATAATGTCAGTCATGTTGCATGCTGTCAGTCATGTTGGATACTGTCAGTCATGTTGTGTACTGTCAGTCATGCTGTGTACTGTCACTCATGTTGTGTACTGTCAGTCATGTTGTGTACTGTCAGTCATGCTGTGTACTGTCAGTCATGTTGTGTACCGTCAGTCATGTTGTGTACTGTCAGTCATGCCGTGTACTGTCACTCATGTTGTGTACTGTCAGTCCTGTTGAATACTGTCAGTCATGCTGGATACTGTCAGTCATTCTGTGTACTGTCAGTCATGGTGTGTACTGTCAGTCATGCTGTGTACTGTCAGTCATGCTGGATACTGTCAGTCATTCTGAATACTCTGTCATGTTGTGAACTATCAGTCATGCTGCATACTGTCAGTCATGTTGTGTACTGTCAGTCATGTTGTGTACTGTCAGTCATGTTGTGTACTGTCAGTCATGTTGTGTACTGTCAGTCATGCTGGATACTGTCAGTCATGTTGTGTACTGTCAGTCATGTTGGATACTGTCAGTCATGTTGTGTACTGTCAGTCATGTTGGATACTGTCAGTCATGTTGTGTACTGTCAGTCATGTTGTGTACTGTCAGTCATGTTGTGTACCGTCAGTCATGTTGTGTACCGTCAGTCATGTTGTGTAGTGTCAGTCATGTTGTGTACTGTCAGTCATGTTGTGTACTATCAGTCATGTTGTGTACTGTCAGTCATGTTGGATACGGATGTTCTTCCAGGTCTTCATCCAGATCAAGTAAATTCAACTATTCAACTTACTCTCTCTCTCTCTCTCTCTCTCTCTCTATATATATATATATATATATATATATATATATATATATATATATATATATATATATATATATATATACAAAACATCAATGGCACCTTTACGTTTTTCCAGACGTTAGTGTTATATTGCACTGTGAGGAGGCATGAGACTCACAGCCCATGGTGAAGGCGAGTGTGACCAGCAAGACATGGCCGTGTCAAGAAAAGTCTTCCCCAATGATAGCATGTTATTGTTGTTGGTGCCTTACCTATCCTGGTGTTGATTTCTTGGTCCAGCGATAGTTTACTATTCACTGGGGAACCCAGATAGGTAAAATGGTCTACTGTCTCAAGCTCTTCACTGTGAATGTAGACTGTATGTTTGTTATTGACACCTTGCACCACAACCCTTGTCTTCTTTTTGCTGACTGTTAGTCCAAATTCACAGCACGCATCAGCAAAGGCAGATAGTAAACATTGCAGCTCTTCCTCTGAGTGGTGGTTATTGAGGCATCATCTGCAAACAGCAGCTCTCTGATAAGTACCTTTCTTATCCTGGTTTTAGCCTTCAGCATGCGAGCATTGTAAAGGCTGCCGTCAGATCTAGAATGAATGAAAATACCACTCACCTGATCTCGAAAGGCATGTGTCAGAAGAAGTGAAAAGTATATTCAAAAGAGGGTAGGAGCAAGTACACACTCTGCTTCACTCCATTTTATTTGATTAAAAACTCCTCCGATGTTTCATCATCAAAGTTGATTGTACCTTTCATTCCTGTGTGGAACGACTCAATAATGCTTAGTAGAGTAGGTGGACACCCAATCTTCTTCAGTGCGTAAAACACACCTTTTCGACTAACCAAATCAAAGGCCTTGGCAATATCAATAAAAGCAACATACAGTGGTTGATTTTGTTCATGGCATTTGTCTTGCAACTGTCGTAATGAAAATATCATATCAGTGGTAGATCGGCTCCCACACTGGCATTCAGGGTAAACGCGGTGCCCCAGGATCCGGAGTCTTCTCAGAACAATTCTCGCAAGCACTTTTCCAACAGTTCAGTGATATTTCACTGTAGTTATTGCAGTCACTGTGATCACCCTTGTTCTTGTAATCATCGTCAACATCATCATCATCATTATTATCACTGCCATCATATAAATATATATTTATTTCTCAGTTGGCCTCTCTCAGCACTTCTTTCCTTCTGGTCTTCGCGTTACAAAGACGTAGTACTGTAAGTCCTGTTTTGTTCTAATGCGGGGAATCAGCTCTCTTTGTGTATTACTTCTTTATTTCTTGTACCCAGCGTCGGCTGTGTCTAGCTAGAAAATGAATGGTTCATCTATATTCCCATAGTAAGGAACTCCCATAGTAAGGAACTCCCATAGTAAGAAACTCCCATAGTAAGGAACTCCCATAGTAAGGAACTCCCATAGTAAGGAACTCCCATAGTAAGGAACTCCCATAGTAAGGAACTCCCATAGTGAGGAACTCCCATAGTGAGGAACTCCCATAGTGAGGAACTCCCATAGTGAGGAACTTTCATAGTGAGGAACTCCTATAGTGAGGAACTCCCATAGTGAGGAACTCCCATAGTAAGGAACTCCTATAGTGAGGAACTCCCATAGTGAGGAACTCCTATAGTGAGGAACTCCCATAGTGAGGAACTCCCATAGTGAGGAACTCCCATAGTGAGGAACTCCCATAGTGAGGACCTCCCATAGTGAGGAACTCCCATAGTGAGGAACTCCCATAGTGAGGAACTCCCATAGTGAGGAACTCCCATAGTGAGAAACTCCCATAGTGAGGAACTTTCATAATGAGGAGCTTCTATAGTGTGGAACTCCCATAGTGAGGAACTCCCATAGTGAGGAACTCCCATAGTGAGGAACTTTCATAGTGAGGAACTCCCATAGTGAGGAACTCTCATAGTGAGGAACTCCCATAGTGAGGAACTTCCATAGTGAGGAACTTTTATAGTGAGGAACTCCCATAGTGAGGAACTCCCATAGTGAGGAACTCCTATAGTGAGGAACTCCCATAGTGAGGAACTCCCATAGTAAGGAACTCCCATAGTGAGGAACTCCCATAGTGAGGAACTCCCATAGTGAGGAACTCCTATAGTGAGGAACTCTCATAGTGAGGAACTCCCATAGTGAGGAACTCCCATAGTGAGGAACTTTCACAGTGAGGAACTCCCATAGCTAGGAACTCCCATAGTGAGGAACTCCCATAGTGAGGAACTCCCATAGTGAGGAACTCCCATAGTGAGGAACTCCCATAGTGAGGAACTCCCATAGTCAGGAACTCCCATAGTGAGGAACTCCCATAGTGAGGAACACCCATAGTGAGGAACTCCCATAGTGAGGAACTCCCATAGTGAGGAACTCTCATAGTGAGGAACTCCCATAGTGAGGAACTCCCATAGTGAGGAACTCCCATAGTAAGGAACTCCCATAGTGAGGACCTCCCATAGTTAGGAACTCTCATAGTGAGGAGCTTCTATAGTGTGGAACTTCCATAGTGTTGAACTCCCATATTGTGGATCTCCCATAATGAGGAGCTTCCATAGTGAGGAACTCCTATAGTGAGAAACTTTCATAGTGAGGAACTCCCATAGTGAGGAACTCCCATGGTGTGGAACTCCCATATTGTGGAACTCCCATAGTGAGGAGCCTCCATAGAAAGAAACTTCCATAGAAAGAAACTACCACAGTGAAAAACGTCCCTAGTGATAAACTCACCTAGTGAGGACTCTCATAGTTAGAAACTCCCCTAGTGACCAACTTTCATAGTGAGAAACTCCCCTAGTGACCAATTTTCATAGTGAGAAACTCCCTTGGTGAACAACTTTCATAGTTAGAAACTCCCCTAGTGACCAACTTTCATAGTGAGAAACTCCCCTAGTGACCAACTTTCATAGTGAGAAACTCCCCTAGTGAGGGACGCCCATAGAGAGAGAAACTTCAACATTTGTTTTGTAGTCCGACTGGCTTATTGCTATAGTCCTCACAAACATAATATATAGGGGGGGAGAGAGAGAGAGAGAGAGAGAGAGAGAGAGAGAGAGAGAGAGAGAGAGAGAGAGAGAGAGAGAGAGAGAGAGAGATAGAGAGAGATGTAAGGTTTAGTGTGAATTTATCTACAGCAGTCGAATATAGAAGACACAGGCGTGTAGTCTAATGTAATATTATCTACAACAGTCATGTATGGGGGAGATAGACGTGTGGGCCTGTCTGATATTATCTACAACAGTCATCAAGTAGCTCCTACTTTAACCACATAGTACCGTATACCTTATACAGTATCAGGAAAATAGAAATTGCTTTTTCTCCCCATTTTCTTCCCCACTACACGCACACACACATCACACACACACACACACACACACCACGCCCAGACACACAGGCACACACACACAACCACCATCTTGTAATCACACCTAGGAATGTGTCATTTGTCAAAGCTGGTGTTGTTGTGGCGAAAGTGGTGATTAATGTTATCCCTAGGGCACTATCTGCGACACGATTGCCTCTATTGATCTGACAATTAACATAGCCGTAGTAACAGCGAAATCGATCAGCACATTATGCTAATACAAACAATAAGGTGCATGGACTGCACTCCAGCAGGCAACCGCTGTAGGGCAAAGGTGAACTCGCGTCCGTTGCGTGTTTGATTTTTCACAGGCAACCATGAAAAGTTGTCCGAAACGCCCGGGTCGATGCAACCTGAAACGGCTGCCAGAAAATGATCTAGAGAGTTGAAGTTTGTGGCTGTCCATGATAAATGAAACTTCATGTCTTCAGGCATGCGTGCTGTCATCAATGGGGATACCAAGGTATCAACAAAGTATAGAAACCAAATTCGCAGAACGTACCATAAGTGTATTATCCGATGATTCATTCTGATCAGCTGTGCAAATTTGATAAGTAAGCAGTAAACTCGTAAAATCAAACAAAATCTACATCGATCTTGTCGTTCTCACATTAGTTCTCTGGGAAGATGGGATTCACATCTGTCCGCAGCTATAGGCTCAACGTCTTGACCTTGCAAACTCTATAGCGATCCAGCAAAGTCTTATACCGAGCAGAAACGCTGATACGCAACTGTGTGACTTTTATTGGTAATTCCCGCAAACGACGGACACGACGATCAACGTCCCAGCACGGCAATACTTTTATTTACATTGACATCCAGTAATTTTTCCTTCTAAGATTCACAGAACTCAGACACAAACGTCCTACATCGTCAACTGCTTGACTGCGAGAATCGTCTTTGGAGCTAACCTCCTAACGACAACATGACAATACGCGCCAACTTCTGACTTACTAGTTGCCTCATTCAGTGCTGGTGTAATTCAGTGTGCAATTTACACGTGACAAGAGCAAATGCGGCTAATGCGGGACTGACCTCATCAAAAACCGAGACTGGTTGCTCTATGAAAAGTTGGAACAGCATCCTATACCTATAATATCATAGGAAAGGGATTGCTATTTTTTACATGCAGCATCGCCTGTGTACCTCACAAGCTGTTGCTGTGATACCTCACCAGCTGTTGCTGTGATACCTCACCAGCTGTTGCTGTGATACCTCAACAGCTGTTGCTGTGATACCTCAACAGCGGTTGCTGTGATACCTCACCAGCTGTTGCTTTGATACCTCACCAGCTGTTGCTGTGATACCTCAACAGCTGTTGCTGTGATACCTCACCAGCTGTTGCTTTGATACCTCACCAGCTGTTGCTGTGATACCTCACCAGCTGTTGCTTTGATACCTCACTAGCGGCTGCTGTGATACCTCAACAGCTGTTGCTGTGATACCTCACCAGCTGTTGCTTTGATACCTCACCAGCTGTTGCTGTGATACCTCACCAGCTGTTGCTTTGATACCTCACTAGCGGCTGCTGTGATACCTCACCAGCTGTTGCTTTGATACCTCACCAGCTGTTGCTGTGATACCTCACCAGCTGTTGCTGTGATACCTCACTAGCGGCTGCTGTGATACCTCACCAGCTAGTGCTGTGATACCTCACCAGCTGTTGCTGTGATACCTCACTAGCTAGTGCTGTGATACCTCACTAGCTGTTGCTGTGATACCTCACTAGCTAGTGCTGTGATACCTCCCCAGCTGTTGCTGTGATACCTCACTAGCTAGTGCTGTGATACCTCACCAGCTGTTGCTGTGATACCTCACCAGCTGTTGCTTTGATACCTCACTAGCGGCTGCTGTGATACCTCAACAGCTGTTGCTGTGATACCTCACCAGCTGTTGCTGTGATACCTCACCATTCGTTGCTGTGATACCTCACCAGCTGTTGCTGTGATACCTCACCAGCTGTTGCTGTGATACCTCACCAGCTTTTGCTGTGAGGTGTTCAGCACCTGTGCTGGTCATTACTGTTGTCCTTGTTCAACCAAGAATATGGTAGAGCTTGTGCAGTTGTGTGACTTATTGCAGACACGTTACCAGCAGTTTCAGTTTATCTGAGTGGTGCATTGTATCTTTCATGACTTATTTGATCTCGACGCCAACTGCTACAATGTTAACGTCTGCTATTTGGGGAATTGTTTGAGAGCTAAACACAACAAGTAAAGAACCCATTTCTAGGCGTATAATGCTAAATCTAAATTTTATAGACTAACTGGCACTTATTGGATGATACAGCCAAGATCACACTGGCCACCTTTACTTTCCATGACAGTACCTGGTACCCATCTAAGGCTGTATCGACCTGGGAGCACATGCCATTTATGGGGAAAATATAAGTCGGCATGCCTCTGGACCTGAAACCAGCACCATTTAATCCAGGGACGAGCGTCTAGCCGCTTCACCACGGCGGCTCCCTAAATGAAAACCTAAAAGAAATGGAACTGGTCACATGGTCTTATTAGACTGTATCTTGTGTGACAACGGCATGATTCACATCTGCTTGCTTGTGACCGGTGTGTTATCATCATCATTTGCAGTACTGGCTGTCACAGTCAATCACTCTCTCTGCCAACACCATCAAGAAGTAAGTTTACTCAGGGGCCATGTGGACCAGGTCGCCCCTGGCGAGTGTCTAGAGGGACCATGTCGGCGGCCCCTGGCAAGTGTCTAGAGGGACCATGTCGGCGGTCCCTGGCGAGTGTCTAGAGGGACCATGTGGACCATGTCGGCGGTCCCTGGCAAGTGTCTAGAGGACCATGTGGACCATGTCGGCGGTCCCTGGCAAGTGTCTAGAGGACCATGTGGACCATGTCGGCGGCCCCTGGCAAGTGTCTAGAGGGACCATGTCGGCGGGCCCTGGCAAGTGTCTAGAGGGACCATGTGGACCATGTCGGCGGTCCCTGGCAAGTGTCTAGAGGGGCATGTCGGCGGTCCCTGGCAAGTGTCTAGAGGGACCATGTCGGCGGCCCCTGGCAAGTGTCTAGAGGGCCATGTCGGCGGCCCCTGGCAAGTGTCTAGAGGGACCATGTCGGCGGTCCCTGGCAAGTGTCTAGAGGGACCATGTCGGCGGTCCCTGGCAAGTGTCTAGAGGGACCATGTGGAACATGTCGGCGGCCCCTGGCAAGTGTCTAGAGGGACCATGTCGGCGGTCCCTGGCAAGTGTCTAGAGGGACCATGTCGGCGGTCCCTGGCAAGTGTCTAGAGGGACCATGTCGGCGGTCCCTGGCAAGTGTCTAGAGGGACCATGTCGGCGGTCCCTGGCAAGTGTCTAGAGGGACCATGTCGGCGGGCCCTGGCGAGTGTCTAGAGGGGCCATGTGGACCATGTCGGCGGTCCCTGGCAAGTGTCTAGAGGGACCATGTGGACCATGTCGGCGGTCCCTGGCAAGTGTCTAGAGGGACCATGTGGAACATGTCGGCGGTCCCTGGCAAGTGTCTAGAGGGACCATGTGGACCATGTCGGCGGTCCCTGGCAAGTGTCTAGAGGACCATGTGGACCATGTCGGCGGTCCCTGGCAAGTGTCTAGAGGACCTTGTGGACCATGTCGGCGGTCCCTGGCAAGTGTCTAGAGGGACCATGTCGGCGGCCCCTGGCGAGTGTCTAGAGGGACCATGTCGGCGGTCCCTGGCAAGTGTCTAGAGGACCATGTGGACCATGTCGGCGGTCCCTGGCAAGTGTCTAGAGGACCATGTGGACCATGTCGGCGGTCCCTGGCAAGTGTCTAGAGGACCATGTGGACCATGTCGGCGGTCCCTGGCGAGTGTCTAGAGGACCATGTGGACCATGTCGGCGGTCCCTGGCAAGTGTCTAGAGGACCATGTGGACCTTGTCGGCGGTCCCTGGCAAGTGTCTAGAGGACCATGTGGACCATGTCGGCGGTCCCTGGCAAGTGTCTAGAGGACCATGTGGACCATGTCGGCGGTCCCTGGCAAGTGTCTAGAGGACCATGTGGACCATGTCGGCGGTCCCTGGCAAGTGTCTAGAGGACCATGTGGACCTTGTCGGCGGTCCCTGGCAAGTGTCTAGAGGACCATGTGGACCTTGTCGGCGGTCCCTGGCAAGTGTCTAGAGGACCATGTGGACCATGTCGGCGGTCCCTGGCAAGTGTCTAGAGGACCTTGTCGGCGGTCCCTGGCAAGTGTCTAGAGGACCTTGTCGGCGGTCCCTGGCAAGTGTCTAGAGGACCTTGTCGGCGGTCCCTGGCAAGTGTCTAGAGGGCCATGTCGGCGGTCCCTGGCAAGTGTCTAGAGGACCTTGTCGGCGGTCCCTGGCAAGTGTCTAGAGGACCTTGTCGGCGGTCCCTAGCAAGTGTCTAGAGGGCCATGTCGGCGGTCCCTGGCAAGTGTCTAGAGGGCCATGTCGGCGGTCCCTGGCAAGTGTCTAGAGGACCATGTGGACCATGTCGGCGGTCCCTGGCAAGTGTCTAGAGGGACCATGTGGAGCTTGTCGGCGGTCCCTGGCAAGTGTCTAGAGGGGCCATGTGGAGCTTGTCGGCGGTCCCTGGCAAGTGTCTAGAGGGACCATGTCGGCGGTCCCTGGCAAGTGTCTAGAGGGACCATGTCGGCGGTCCCTGGCAAGTGTCTAGAGGGAACATGTCGGCGGTCCCTGGCAAGTGTCTAGAGGGAACATGTCGGCGGTCCCTGGCAAGTGTCTAGAGGACCTTGTCGGCGGTCCCTGGCAAGTGTCTAGAGGGCCATGTCGGCGGTCCCTGGCAAGTGTCTAGAGGACCTTGTCGGCGGTCCCTGGCAAGTGTCTAGAGGACCTTGTCGGCGGCCCCTGGCAAGTGTCTAGAGGACCTTGTCGGCGGCCCCTGGCAAGTTTTTAGAGGGGCCATGTGGAACATGTCGTCTACCTATAGAAATACAAGTCAAGCGTCGTATGACCGATGTGCTACAGTGATAAAAAGCGTCGACTACTTGACTGACTGCAATAAGGGAGGAAAGGTGTGTGTGTGTAGGGAAAAAGGGGGGGGGGGCTGATTTTATTCAGGCAATCGAAACAAAGCAAGTATCAAGCATATATCCTGCGTCAGTTTTCATCATTTGATATAAGCCGAGAGATTTCAAGCGGTAAAGCCATCAGGCAGACGATGGCAACCGCGATAGTTCCCGACAGGAAGGCCTCCATGGTTTATGTTTGTGAACAAGTAGTTCATGTTTATGAACAATTTCCGCGCAAAATGATATGGCTTCCGGGCCACAGGCTAGTAGTCCGGACATTTGAGCGGGGAATCTTTTAGCGTGTGTCTACATTTACGGAAAGTAGACGATGAAATGGCAATGTTTATGTCTCTTCTATTGCATTCCGCCTCCATGTGTGGAGAACAGGGGGTGTCTGTACGGTTTACATGTAAACGATATCAAATAAAAAGAAGGGTATAGCTTCTAAGTATGGTCGTGCAGTATCTCATTGCTGGCGTGAACAAGGACACATATCCGCCAATTTGAAGCCAATGAGAGATTAACTGTCTAGGCCAGTTTGTAGTTCTGGCTAATGCAGTCATCTTGTTCATCTGTTTAGCGTTCACGGCTGTAAATTTAAGCAGCAAGCCCTAGTTGTTCTTCCACTTGTGGATTTTCGTTTTGTTCCAGAACTTTGGTTTTGCATGCACATCCGCCTTATAGATAAGGCTTTTTTTTTGTATGCAGACTACTGGTTCCTTGCCTCTTCTGCAGATGCAATCAGACTTCGAAGGAAACCCTTATCTAGTCGAATCTTACGACAGGCTTGTTAAGGAAGGCTGTGTCTATTGCTGATTTTTCCGCCTGGTCTAAAGTACGGCCCTGGAACCCAAGTGGAAAGTGTTCTAACTGATATTCACCTCAACTTGCTTTGATATTTACTGGTACCCAGTTTAGAACAGTCGGCCTGGGGATCCACGTCACTTGTCAAAGTCTGTCTTGCTGGGGTTGGGAAGCAGTCGTCAAGCTACGCTTGACGTGGTTAACGGCACATAATTTGCGTTGCAACTTTGCTCGCAGTATGTTGCAATGATCAGGTCGCACGTGTAAGCGTTAGCACCCAGCGACTACACTGGAGTGGGTAGTTCGTGACATTTTCCTCTTCTTTGCTTTGATGTTGAGAATATGCGTCTGCGGTTAGCATTGTCGTACTTATAACTGGCAGCTTTCACATGTTAAAGGTTTTGCATGAGGGGCGTAATCATGTAGCTAGCTTTCTTGGCGCTAAGTTCACAGTGTAAGAGGAGTGACGTAATCATGCAGCTATCTTTCTTGGCGCTAAGTTCACGATGTAAGCGGAGTGACGTAATCATGCAGCCAGCGTTCTTGGCGCTAAGTTCACGGTGTAAGCGGAGTGACGTATTTTTAATAAATAGTCAACAGGTAGTCTGCAGAGATATCGTTGCTTGGAAAATACTTAACACCATTGCAATAGTATACTAAATAAATTAAATGGCGTTGAATGATATTCATTGAAGTAAGCATAGATGTGACACTATTTGATCTTTCACCACCCACTCAAGCTAAATCAGATGTGCCTATCGAAACAAAACTTACCAGCTAATGTTTGTATGTCTTTACTCTGTTTACCAACAAGGCCAGTGATGCAACAATGCATATTAAATTTTTTTTTTAATGCAGTATAATGTCAGTGCATATACGATGATGATTTCATCCTCACACGATGATAACCAACAATTCTATATAAGTTGTGCTATCGTTTGTTGCACACTTCTAACAGGTCATTGGCTGTTACTGAATGTTTTATAAGTCTCCTCTAAGGCACTCAAGAAATATATTTTCTTCTAACCAAGCTGAACTCTCAGCCATACAGTATACTGCTTTGTTCACAAGCTACCGTTCTTCTTGACTTCGACCTGTCGGCCCATGCCTTCTCCACCTTTTCTCTGACCTTCTCCAAGCGTCGCTCATTTCTCACATTTTGGCACCTGTCAACCTGTCTACCAAACACCCTGATTTCCGGTTTATCTGGTCTGCACGCTTTATCTACCAGAACGATTAATAGGATGTCTGTGTCTGTACCACATGTTTATGTCGGCTCTGTGGCTAAGACAATGTGAACGCTTTGTAATGCCGGGATGCCGGCGTTAGTTTCGACAGTGGTATCAAGAAAGCCGACCGTCTAGAAAGCAATGGCAAACTACTGGACGTAAATTTGCCTAGCAAAACCACCGGGGTTGGTTCTGCAACATCCTGTAAAGGATACGCAACTAACCAACCACCTATTCATAGAAACAAAAGCTAATCCTGGCATGTCTCACTTTGTACTTGTTCACCTCCTGATCACTCCTTTCTAACATTGGAAAAAGAAACTATTGAACTCATGAGACTATCTAAACATTGAAACAGAAACTCATCAGCAAATAGTCAGTTCTGAAATAAGTATCATGGTGGGTGTTTATTGTTTGTGGTTAGAGTGAGGAGAAGAAATACATAGAACACATGAGAACACCGCAAGTGTGACAGGTGGACAGTTTAGCTTGATAGCACATAAAGCCACCTGAAAGCTCTCAAGGCCTGGTGCAAGACAGTTTTGCATGAAAGCTCTCAAGGCCACCTCAAAGCTAGACAGTTTTGCATGAAAGCATGAAAGCACTTATAGCCAGATGAAAGTAAGACAGTTTTCTGTTATAACACTTAAGGAAAGGTGAAAGTGTGACAGTTTCGCATGAAGGCATTTAAGGCTAGGCGAAATTTAGACAGTTTTGCATGAAAGTACTTAAGGCTAGGTGGAAGTTTGACAGTTTTGCATGATTGCACTTGAGGCTAGGTGAAATTTAGACAGTTTTGCATGAAAACACTTAAGGCTAGGTGGAAGTTGAACAGTTTTGCATGAAAACACTTAAGGCTAGGTGAAAGTTGAACAGTTTTGCATGATTGCACTTAAGGTTAGGTGAAAGTTGAACAGTTTTGCACGATAGCACTTAAGGCTAGGTGAAAGTTGAACAGTTTTGCATGATTGCACTT